ACAGTAGTGCCGCTGAAGGATCCGAGAAAATTGAGCCAGGAGCACACACCATCAGAGCACTCTTCGAACACAGCGGCCGCCCATCCAAGAGGAGCATTGCGCATAGCAGACCCATCCATCGGCATACATATGAATGGCGCTGGGAGCCCAAACACCGGGAGGGTGACGATGCTGGATAGCAGCACGAGCTGGCCCACGCAGGCGAAAAGGGATATCGCCGGCCCAGGTCTCCGCCCACTCGCAAAGTTTCGGGACATGCGGAAGGTCCGACGCAGCATTATTGAGCTGCGGGGCCGCAGGAGGTAGCGCCAGGCTTCGTCTACCGTGAGGGGTAGGCACAGACGCCCTCAGTAGTTTCTTGTCCAGCTGCAGCAGGGAGGTCGCCGGCGTGCTGGTCGCTGAGGGCCTTCGCGCTTGTGGGTCACGGCGCTCCACAATAACAAAGTGACTCTCGGTATGGGGTGGGAAAACCGCAACAAAGCCCCTACGAACCGGCAGTGGCAACCCTTCAAGCGGCAAGCGAGGCGGCGCACTGACTTGTAAGTAGTTGCTGAAGTGTGGCGAGGGGTAGAGCAGTGTTCGGCGCACAGAACCGGGCGGGATGGAGATAAAGACTGGGGTAGTCCATTCCATCACGAGTGGGTCGGCAAAAGTCGTCCCAGCTGGCAGGTATTCCCCGGCCTGAATGAAATCCACTGCTTCTTGGAAGCCCGGGGTGAGTGCCTGGTCCATCTGCAGATGCAGGGCTGGGTGCCCTGGCCCCAGCACGATGATGGGCTGATTACCTCTGGCTGGCGTTCCAAAGTGCTGCCTGAGTGCGCTTGAGTGCATCCTTGGCACGTACCTGTAGCGACGCTGAGAGGGGATCTGCAGAGAGGGCCTGCATCGAGGGCACAGGGATTGGCAGTGCAAAGAAACGCAGGTCTGGCAGGAGCCTGTACAAGCGGCCGGGCGGAACAGCTTCTGCGAAATAGTCACCTTGGCGTATCTGCACGAGGTCGCCGGTGGCCAGCTCCCTGTTTGCTGCCGTATGAGCAAGACCGTTGAGAAAGGCTGAATAGCCTCTGCGCGCATGCGCATCAGACAGCATGTGCACTGGCCGCGTGCCAGCGTCGACTGAAAAGCCTTGCAAGAGAGACCCGTCGACTGAATGGTCTTGGAGAATATGAATGTCTGGCCCCTCGGGAAACACAAGAAAACAGATCATGTATGTGTTGTGTCGGTCCGGGAGCTTGGGCGTTGCCGCGGCGATTTGCAGCATCGGCCGCTCGGGCATGCGACCTTGGAGAGCGAGCACGTACAAGAGCTCCGTCAAGGAGTCAACAACATTAGCTTCATTCCAAGGTTGCGGGACCAGGCGGATGAGAGTCCCTCCGCCAACAAGAACGAAGGAGACAGTTTGGACTGTCGTTGAGCTTCCTGCCGGCAAGGCGAAGGTCGTGGTACCTGTGGTGTGGCCAAGAACAGGAAAGGCAAAAGCAATGCTCTGAAGGCCGTGCATCCCCAAAGGTCCAGTAGCATCAAGCTGTATACTCAGCCATTGTAACACTTCAAGTCTGAATGGCATGGTATCTCGAACAGCGCCTGCGGCATCTTGAAGGAAGACAGCATCCTGGGCGGCAAGCAGAGACAGTGCAGGCGAATGTTCCGGGCAGGCCGCCGCAATGGCATCAAATACCACGGCTTTGTCGCAACCAGGGGCGACCAGAACTGTGCAAATGCTGCCTTGTAGACGCCTCATGTCAACAGCAACAGCAAGCACGCCAGGCCCGAGGCCAGGCGGAGTCAAGGTGAGCTGTGGAAGCGGCAGGTCTGGTAAGGGGGGCTGCAGGAATTGCACACAGGCCACGGCTTCAGGGCAGGCCTGGATCGCATCGGCAAGAAAGTCCTCGGCTGTCCAATCGGGGCTAGACTTGCGGATTGTGCTGTGTCTCTGCCTGTCAAAGGCAGTGTAGTAACCTGCTGTGGGATCTCCAGGAGCCGTAGCACTGCACAGTCTGAGTTGCTCTGCATTGAGCGTGAGGCGTCCTTGGGCCGCCAGGCTTGCAGGAAGCACTTGAAGCCCCTCGACATTGTCTTTGGCGAGCAGGCTGGGCCGAATGCTGGCATGTGCTGAGAGCAGTGAAGGCGGCTCTCCGGCAGGGTCGCTTGGCGTAGGCTGCACTGGGCTGGAAAAAGGGACAGCAGGACCGTGTCCACAGGTAGCGCCGCTGTCAGCTATGAGGCAACCTCCGTGGGAACTCGGAGGAATGCTGGCAGTGGTCTTCGCTGTCTGGGCAAGGTTCGACATGAAACCGGCCTTGAACCAGTAGCAGGCATGTGGGGATTGATGTCGTGCTTGGCTGGCCTGATTGCATGGCTAGCAAAGGAGGACGGAGCCTGGGCAAGGTTCGACATGGAACCGGCCTTGAACCCAGTAGCAGACATGTGTGGATTAGCAAAGGGCTTGGCAGGCCAAATTGCATTGCTGGCAGCGAGGGAAGAAGCCTGGGCAAGGTTCGACAGGGAACCGGCCTTGAACCCAGGGATGAGGTCGCTGCTGCCGCGATGGTGAGGGTCGCGAGTGCGAGTGGGCTTTGCTTCGGAATCGAACTCGACGAGCGAAAAGCACACCCTACGTCTGTTTGTACAAGCTACCCCACCTGTACATCCCTCAGCGAGCAGCGGTCTGCTGCCCTTCAGGCAGCTACGAAGCAGCGGTGCCGGAGCTCGATTGTCAGCACATCCGCCATAGACATCACCAACCTCGTCAAGGCAGCTCGCCGTGGTAGCCATGGTCAGGCGGCTGCCTCGGAATGTTGGTGAGTATCTCGGCAGGAAGCAGGGCAACCGAGTCGCGATACCCTTGCATTTGTCTGAAGACTGTGTCAAGCACTGCCGCGGCTCAGGAAGGGGCGAGGGCAGCATGAAGTCATAGTCGTCCTTATTGTCCAGGAGATGCTCATCGAAAAGCAGTCTTGGATCCATGTATCGGCCTCGGGGAGCTCGGGAGCATAGGACCTCGTATGCATGCTGGACCCCAAACATGCAAGCGAAGCCTTCGTCCACATAGTCCCTTTCACTTCGCACAGAGTGAGCAAAACCACACTCTGGCATGCCTGACGGCCCACCGTGCCCAGTAGGGCCCGCCGGTGGGCCGCTTAGAAAGACGACTGCGAGGGCTTGTCGGAGCCACCTTTGGCTCCTTTGGCTGCCTTGGCGGCCTTGGCTGCCTTGGCCTCTGCATCCGCCTTGCCCGCCTCCTCTTCGGGTGTCGGCGGCGTCTCGGAGTCCTGGAGCCTTCCCTCGGGTTGGCGCCAGCCGTAGCCGTGTCTCGGACCTTCTCGAGGGCTTCGCAGAGGCTGCGATGCTGATCTGACATCTGTTCTCGTCTCACAGACATCCAAGCCGACTCCTGGGCCGTACGGTCCACCTCGGCCTCCATCTCGTCGCCACCATCCGAGTCTTCGATCTCGATTGCTGCCCCAGTCTCCGTGTCGGCAGCATTCTTGAGGGCTTTGCGGGCCTCGATCAGCCTGGCAGACCAGTGTGCATAGGCCTCGTCCATGCTGGAAAGAGTGGCCTCCCGCTCTGCGAATTGCTTCTGTAGCATCTCCAACAAGCCATCCGCGTAGGCGGCCCAACCAGCCTCGAACGATGCCCTGGAGGCCTTGACCTTCTCCAAGGACTGGAAGGCTTCCTGTCGCTGGGCAACAAGCTTGTGGAGCGTGCGCGCTTCGGACTTTGCTGTTGTCTGCCCAATCTGCGCCATCAGAGCCCGGACAGTGTCGGGCAACTCGGCTGCTTGGCCGAGCTGCTCCAACAACTGCGTAAGTGCCACCTTCTCGGGAGTGGGCTCTGTCGTGGTAGCCGCCGCGTGATCCTTGTTCACTGGCAGCGCCTTCGCTTTGGGCGGCTTCGGGAGCTTGTCGAGCGAGGGAGCAACCGGCGCTTGCACTGACGGCCTCGTAGGGGGGGCTGCTGCCTCGCCTCCAGGCCTGCGTCTTGGCGACTTGGGGCGCCGGCGGGGAGATTTTCCGCCCTTCTGCGCACCCTTCTGCTTGCCCTTGCCTTGTCTGGGCTCCTCGTGGTAGTAGTCGCGGTTGGGCCGAGGCGTTTCCGCCCTCCAGCTGTTGCGCTCCATGACCTTCTCCCAGTAGCCACCACAACCTGGACAAAACTGAGCAGAGGCCTTGTTCGACATCGAGCACTGGAAGCACCTCCATGCTGCCGACATGCTGCTGATAACACGAAGAGCAGCTGCCGGCAATGTACTTCTCGAGTGATGGCCCTTCAGGGCCTGAGCAGCTCTCTGCACCCGGGCGGTGCTCACAAAACTCCCGGAGAGAAAGCAGCGTAAAACTGTTCGACTTCTCGTTCGCCTCCTTCTGAGATTCCGATGCCAGCTGGGCTCTGCACGGGGCCCGGCCGTTGTTGCAAGTAGCCAAAACCAGAAACCAAAGAGCAAAAATCCCAGGGAGGGTCAGCCCACTGACCATCCACCCAGAAAAGCAGCTCCAGCGAACCGCGGTTTGGCCAGCCTCACCAGAGGGGCAAAGCCCGATCACCTCGCAACGCGTACAGTGAAAGGGAGGAAGACGAAGAAGAATGTGCCTTAGAGGTCTCACGTTCCGCGGGAACTTGTCCTCGCTAGGGTACAGGCTCGGCCAGCAGTGGACTCGCGCACGAGAAACTACACTACAGAACCTGAGCCAGACGCCTCCCGATTCAAGGTCAGGGTTTAGGCGAGCACGGATTGCTGGGAGTTGGGGTTTGAAGGGTGACATGGCTGACATGGCACACTGACTTCAAGGAGCCAAGGGCTTACACTTTTCACGGCTTCCAGAAGAAAGGAATAAAAAACACAAACGACACCAAAAAAGGCACAAGCGACACTAAAAGCCACGACACAAGCAAACATTACCCGTGGGGACATATTGAACGATTGCGGCCTTGCTTATGTTCTGTCGCACTCCATAAGGGAAGGTTCATGACGAAAGGCTGTCACAACGTTCTCCCAGGACCGGTGGAAACAGCAGTGCCGTGCACAAGCAGCTGGTCAAAGTGAAAGAGTGCCTCCTCTGACAGTACAGGTAGCTCCTCTTGCCGCTGTGCCCACAGCGAGCTTCTGATAAGCCAAGGCTGCATGCCTCTGCCTGTGCTTTTGCAGCATTGCGAAAGGACGCGATATAATTGAAGTTGCTGAAATTTTGCTTGATCAGTTCAATGCCGATGCTGTCCAGGATGGAAGTGTCGTCACCTGGGGCATTGACCAGCGCTTTGGCAAGCGTGACAGCATGCCTGTGAAGCCGAAGAAGTGCCTTGCACTACGTGCTGCCCAAGGTCTGGAGGGAACAGTGCAATGGTGCAATCCCAGCTCGTGAACGTGAAGGACTGAACAATCAAACAGAAGCTTCGGCTTTATCGCGTTTTTGCCCATTCTTGAGTGCAAGACTGAGGAGATGTGCTCGTCGACCTTCGCGTTTGCAGCCTTGCGGGAGGACGGCAGCCTGGCAGCAAAGGACGGTGTCGGAACTCGACGGTTGGCTCCAAATTGCCCGAGGTAGGGTGGTGACCTGGGGCTCTGCGAGTGTTGGTGGAGACAGCAGCTCTGCCCTCCGCCTTGACTGTTGTCACTCCTGGCAAGCTTTGCGGTCCCGGCGCTCATAGGTGCGAGAGCAGCTTAGCGACGTCCGGCAGCTTTTCGGTTTCGCCAACGGCTTCGCTGCCATTCGGAGCCTTGCCATGGCTTGTGTGCAGCTGTATGCCCAGCTTGAGAGCAGCTAAGCAGTATGTGCATGGCCGCTCGTGGCTAGGCAACGTCCAAGCAACGACAGAACCCTTGCTCTTTTCAATGCTCTTCAAGCATCCACTGCTCCTGATGTTGAAACTGCCTGGGCACAGCTATGCCTTGACTTACATGCATCCACCCGTATAGGATGTAGGACAAGGCACACAAGGGGAAGAAAGGACCAAGTTTCGTACTACACGATACAAGATGCTGCTTGTCCTGGGAAGGCTAGTGTAACACTCGTGTCTGCCTGGTATGCATGGTGCAAAAATCTCGAAGATGTCAGGATGGATGGTCAGCCGGTTGTATGGGGTGATGTGCCATCTGGCCGCGACGGCATCTCGGTTGAAATATTGCCATCGGCACGGCCGCTGAAGCGCTGCACCGAACGGCCGTCTTTCCACCACTTGTAAGCAAAACAGTGCAGGCAGGTTACACGTCGTTGCTCTGCAAGATCGCATGTCAGGCACGAAACTACAGCAAGAGCTCCGTGAAGTGCGCCGTATGTACGCAACGGACTCCTGCGGGCGATAAACATGTTAGAGCCATGCAGGCTGAGGGTGCTGTCGATCCTGTCGAGTTCGCAGTTTGTACAGATGCAGCCTCAGCAGGATTCGGCTTGTGCGGCCCTTCGAGCAGATGGACGTGCTACTTCTCCGCATCCCCTCTGCGCTGCCCAAAGAGTAACAAGACATGAACCTACGAAATTAGTAATTGTCCACTGGAGCATGTTGTAGCTATGGCTATGGATGGTGTCCAGCGGCACATGTTCTTCTTGGCGTCAACATGCGCACATCACAGACCGGCAAAGAATCGCCAGCATTGGGAAAGGACGTGCGCATGCGGTGCCCCATTTTGAGGTTATCACCTGGGGCGCCCTGGGTCAAAGTGTTCCACACAGGTGGACCAGCGGATCGAAGTACGAGCATGGAAGCACGAGGCAGTTCGCTGTGCCTCTAAGCTGTCAGGCATCTCCTTGGCATCCGGCAAATTTGCACCACTCGCTCGGCATTTGCAGCTGTCCGACTCACAGCGGCATTCTTCGCGCTGTCATCGCATCACCCTAGCATAGGCCGTAGCGACTAGCAGACCCTCAGTCCAGGAGATGATGGCAGTGTTGTCGCCTGGGGCCGTTCCGACGGAGGCCAGCTCCTTCCTGCTTCCGTACGGCATGAGCTGTTCAGCCGCAGGCGGAGACTGCAGACCTGTCCAGCATCTGCTCTTCGAAGTGAAGCAGGCTGCCATCAGAGCACTGACCAGAACACCGTAAAGCCGCAAGATGAGAACATCGGGTTTTGCCATTAAGTCACATGAGATGCGCACGGATTGCAATATGACGAAAACAAAATATGTCAGCGGAATCTTCGACGCCAGCTGGCAGCGACAGACTCGGCTTTCGCGGCGCTGCGGGCAGACGGCCACGTGATTGCTTGGGGCGATCCCAAAGGCCGAGCTTTTTCAGAGTCTTCGGAGATCTGCAGACATCTTAGCTGTGTAAACATGGCATCCTGTGAGGCGGTGGGGACTCTGTGCCCGTGAAGCATCAGCTCCAAGGCTGTTGCGAGGGGCTTCCCGAATGTTCGTGGCAAAGTTGGCCTTTGAGGCATTCGCCACGTCTACGCCACTTCTGCAGCATTCTGCGCTCTCACGGTCGACGGTACCCTCGTAGCTTGGGGTGACTCTTGGCCGGTCATCTGGTGGCTGCTGGAAGCAGCTGCTGGGCAGAAATTTCCAAGTACTGTTGAAGGGTACTGTACTCGAGGATGCAGCGCGCGGTGGAGACCCAGACGCGGAGCTGCGTCTCAGACAGCAGGAAGCCTTGCAGTCTCCGTAGCACAACAGTGACCCCTCTTATCATTGGCCATCGGCACTGTAGGCACAATGTGGAGCAGATTTTCGCTGCGTCGTCCGCCTTCGCAGCCTTACGGAGAGATGGCTCCCTGCTGCAAGTTGCACACGGACTTAAAGTTCTGAAACTTACTTTGGAGTCATTGCCTCATGGAAAGGCTCTGTGGTGGCGTGGGGCGAAGCAAAGAACGGTGGCGACTGCAGTTTCTTGGCTTTGAAGTGTTGGAGCTGTTCATACCATGCTGGCATGGCAACAGCTCATGCCAGAATATACTCACGATAATGCAGCACTGACTCTCATGAACTACTTGTAGACTGTGAAGTGAGAGTTTGCCGCTGCCTCTGGCGCAGGCCTGTTGGCCTGCCGCGACTTGATCCCCCTGCATCTCAGCGGCGAGGCTTGGGCTGCAAACGGCGCGAAGTAGCAAAGTAGCCGCTGACCCTGTCAGGTCTTCGCTCGGGTCTCACCGCTGGCACCGCAAGATTGAAAAAGGCGTTGCCGATCTGAGCGCTTGCGTCATGGGGCAACAATGCCAGAAAAAAGATGCTTCAGTGTCAGAATTAAGACTTAAGACACACAAGAAATCGTGCAAAGTATAGCATTGGATTTAAGACTGTGCATTGAGTCGATGGAAGGCCTGTCCGGATCTGCCGGTTGTATTGCACAATCTGCGGCAGACTCACTGCTCGACCTATCTCTATTGCATTGCATATCCACTGCGCTTGTAGCTAGACTGGGTTCTGCTGGCCACTAGTATCGAAGACATTAGCTCGTTTGAATGGCTGACCGTCGGACCCGAAGGCGACATGCGCTCGGCGTAGTTGCTTCCTGCGGCGGAAGCTAGGGTGCTTTTGCTTTTGCTTTGGACAAGGGTTGGATTGATGCCGCGCAGCAGGGCTCTGCCGCGTTCAGTCGTGAATGGATTTTGAGGCTCCGTTCTTCTCCTGGGCCTGCCGGGGAAGCTCACGGCGCCTTTGCAACAGCTGCCTCGACAGTGTCGGACCCAGGGCTGCTCAAAGAGCCGCTAGCTCTTCGCAAAGTTGCGCTCTTTAGGCATGTTGCGGACCGGCCCATCGAAGAGATGCTTCTGCCGGGCTACGAGAAGGACCAGGCACGGCCCCAGACCCTTCCGCTCTAACGGCGCTAGTCAGAGAAAATCCTGCGAGGTCTTTCCCACGCTTGCCCGCCATGCAAGAAGCGTCCCTGGCCTATAGAGCTGGGTTTGGATCTTGACCGAGCTTGTTCATGCATTGTCAATGTTGCTTGTTTGGGGAGCTGTGGTGGAGTTGAGTCATGGGCCGCACCTGAAGCATGCACTGTATGGAAGCACGTCGACACGAGACTACAAGCGAGGTCGATGTGCCTCCTCTCTGCACTCTTGAGCGGGATGTGCTCAGGCATTTCCGGTGCGTGTCTTGCAGTTCCATACAGTCGTAGGCTAGAATGTGTAGGTTTGTATTCACGTAGTAGGTTGGGCCACCGCAAATGACCTGACTGGCGCAGGCATATCGTTGCGGGCATCAACCCCATGCAGGCGCAGAGATCCGTGTGATGCGGCTGCAGTCATCAATGACTATACAGCCTACGCGACTGGCCAGGCCTGGGTTTGACGAGGCGAGGGGATGAGAAGCAAGGGGCTGGTCGACTGGGACAACCTGCAAATTTTGCAGACTTTGCAGTGGCAAGGCTCGATCTTCGAACTTCGCCTCAAGGCGCCCTTCCAGCAGTCCTGAGCCAGATCGTGGGAGCGAAACAATCTCGCCGGGAATTCAATAAAGGTCGTCTCACCACGTAGTGCATGCGGGTTCCTCGCCTGTTCTTGCTGACAGGCCAGCTTTGTTCTGCGAAGGTGATCGGGAGTCTAGGTCGATTGCCTGGGACCTTGATGCTGGAACCACGTCACAGCACCGTCCGGTGATAAGTGTGATTGTGACGAATGTCACGCCAAGCGGAACCCTGCTGAACCCATCTCGAATTCGTTCCGTAAGCCTCTGTCAATCTGCCGGGGAGCCCTGAGCGACAAACAGATCGGCTCCGGATACGGCACCGGTCAACAAGTGACTACCGTCACGTACGGGTGGTGGAAGCCGCCGTGTGAGCACATGCACCCCGTAGCCAACCAGCTGCTCACAATCTGCGCCTTACGGTTTCAGTGCTCGTTTCTTCACCGAGGATTTTACATCAAAAGTGATGCGATCCAACCGAACTACTGCAGAACCGTTTCTGTCGATGTAAGAGGTGCAGGTATCCAGAGCCGTCCCGCAAAAGGCTTTCCTAGCAGCATGTCTTAGCCTGTGCTCGCAACCTATAATATGCAGATGAACTTTATTGACTTCATGGACTGCACCGCTAAGTCGAATGCAGCAGTTGCACCTTGAGTCAGTGTGTGCATGAGTCGAGCAGCTTGGAAAAGGAGTGACTGCCATCATTAACTTGCGCTGTCAACGGCTCTCCTCGTTTTACTAATGAGGATTCCCGAAACGACCAGCCGATTTGAAGACCGGTACCCTACCATCATGATGCCGCCATCAATGGCATGGTCCTCTAAGTCGGCACCGTAGTCCAGTAGTCGCTCCGCCTGTGGAGGAGGCAAGGTCAGGCCTTTGAAGGTGGTGCCTTAAGACCTTTTGCCCGAAGTGGCGATTCGATTCAGCTGGGGATTGGTCGCAGGCCTGCGATGCCAATGAGCCTGTTGAGAGCCAAGCACTAAGCGGGCAGTCTTGAGTGTGGCAGTGACCGGAGACCACACCGCCAACACAGCAGATATTGGACTCGCAGAAGGTTGGGGCGAGGAGCACCCGCCCATCCGACTTCCTGTGTCCGCACTGAGCCTGGCTTTGCTCAGAATTCAGCAAATTACGGATGCGACGCAAGTCCAGGCTTGGCGGATACCAGTGCCGGAGTCTTCTGAAGCAGACGAGCCGAGGCACAGCCGACCATAGTCCGGAGCAAATGCTTTCGTCGCGAAGCCGAAGAATCATAACTACTTGCAGAGCTTACCGAATTGCAAGGTTTATGTCAGGAG